CACAAGTGTCTCTACATATTTGCACCTCTTGACTGTCGAAATCATCATTTAGCAATGGACACATGTAGAACCATAACATTCGGCTAAAAATACAATTCAAGGCATTGGCCACCAAAAGGTCTGAAGGCCTCAAACTAGGTCTCGAATGTGGGTGAAGATGTTATGCGATATCTGACACAATCAACCTAAATTTCAGTGAAAGAAGTACATGCTTGTACACAACAAATTGCTTAATAAATGTTACAAAAGCACAAACCTCAACAAAATCTTGACATTTGAACTTAATCATGAATTTCATCATAATGATAAAGGAATTTTCACTCAGAAAGTGAATCAAAAAGCTCCTAAAACTTATAAATAGGATCATTTACACAACTAAAAAATGATTGAAAAAATATGAGATCCAAATTCTAAGAAAATCGTCTTAAATGAGAGTAACTTAAGGGTCAGCTATCTCAAAAATTCTATAATTATCCAATTGGAAGCACTTTCGGATCAAAATAATATCAAAATTTTCATATTTCACTCAGAAAGTGAATCAAAAAGCTCCTAAAACTTATAAATAGGGTCATTTACACAACTAAAAAATGATTGAAAAAATATGAGATCCAAATTCTAAGAGAATCGTTTTAAATGAGGGTAACTTAACGGTCAGTTATCTCAAATTCTATAATTCTCCAATTGGAAGCACTTTCTGATCAAAATAATATAAAAAATTTCATATTTCCTCTTATTACAAATAATTTGGCTCCTAAACACACTCTGAAACACCCCAAAAGAGGGAAAACCCTGCTACAATTCCGACAAAAAACTTCCACTGGCTTTAAAAAATAATTTTTCTATTTTAAGATCAATAGTTTGGCATTGTCTATGAAAATTTATAATATATTAAAATATTACGTCAATGGAGAATAATTCTTTGGACAATTTTAACTTCCTATAATTCAATTATTTCAATAATACTTTATTTTTCGCTTTTTCGATATGTGATAAATACAACATAGTTATTGTCATATATGAAATTTGTGTTATTAATTCTCAATTAATTAATATTCACATTAATCTATATTTAATGAATTTTCACTTGGTAAATCTTGAATTATACAAATTTAAAGTTATTATAGATGAATTTATTTATATTCATGTATTTAGAAATTTTAATGGGTATTTAAATTTATGTACTAACAATTAATTTTTATGTATCAAATGTAATATAAAAAGATTGCTTATTTATAGTATTTCATCATTACAAAAAATTTGATTCATAAAAATTGAATTTTGAAAGTACAATTTTCTTCTTTTAATTTTTTATGCTAAATTTTATTTTCTTTAATTCGTTTGGAAGTCATCAAATTCTCCAACAAATTTGTACCAAAAATTACTTTTACATCACTTATAAAGTATTTTAGCCCTTTTTTTATTCTCATTTTTTGGCCACAACAATGAAAAATATGATCGTTATCCGTCATATTAATCCACCATATTTGACTTTTCTGTCTCTTGTATGGGTTCTATAATAACTATATTTTTCATTCTCATTCTTACAAAAATGTGTACCAAACGTGACCTTAGAATAACGTGCAGTATACGTTCAACTTTGACTAGTTTTTACAAAAATCACGAGAAGAACACCGAAAGCCAAGAAGTATGACTTGGAAAGGGTCTAGCAATGATGAAAACTCAAAGACGGACAAAGTTAAGTGGGTGATAGTTTATAAAAACGCATGTTTTGTGATAAACATTACCAATAAATATGTCAAATAACTAAAATGCTTTTATTTCAAAGAGTCAATTTTTAAAATTAGACTCCAAGAAATTCTTTAATTAAATATTTTATGAAGAGAGTAATTCACTCTCTACATTATGATAGCTAAACCTATCTATTAAACTAAATAACTAATTTATTTTATTCCTTTTACATTTTTTGTATACAAAAGATGTCCATTGTCGTTAAAAGGCCATTGATTTATTCAAAGACGTTATCTTCAACAAAATGTATATACTTCAATTTACATGACTTGTAAAAGTTCGTCACAATATTATAAACAAATCAACCGCATGAAAATTAAAGAGTTCTCAGAGATCGATAATTATACAGAAGATTCTATAATATCTAGAAACCGACTATGCATTTCACATCTAGAAATTTGGGCAAGTGTTGAGCATGAGTTATGCCACACTTATAAAGAGGGTTAACAAAGTTGGATGACAAAATCACATCTACACCAATCATTTTAAAAATAGATTTTTAAATCATTTAAAATCAATGGTATGAATTTTTCCAACATACTTTGTAACCCAACTTTGTAAAAATAACTTTATTGTGTGAGCATTTCCTTGACTATAAGTATTTAACACCACAATCCACGTAATAGTACAATTCAAAGCAATAATTTACTATTTCTTGAGCTATTCCGCACAACGTGGTTGGTATTTTCATCAAAAAGAGCAAAATTGTAATACAAAATTACTGCCAACATCTATGAAAGGCTCTTAAAACTTTTAGAATAATGTTATTAAACTTCACTGAGGTAGCAACCTCAAACTAGGTGGTGCTAATGTAACATTAAATAATAAATGAAATTGAATAACTTATTTAATTTCACGTTTCATTTAGCCTATCATCTAATGTCACCTCGACTAAGATTACAATCCAGTGAAGTTAAATAGTATTAATCAAAATTTTAAGATTTTTGTTGTACTTTTTTTCTTTCTCTTTACAAAATATTTTCTTGTCAAGAATAAAAAACAAAAAAAAGAACCAAGAAAATCAATTGTTAAGACTCTTTGCTAGAACCACATGACTCCGCAACTCTTGATTCTTAGACAATAATTAAAACAATTATATAATTAGAACCATATTGAATAGGGTTGGCAACAGGCCATTTATTTATTTATTTTTATAATTTTTGATAATTCATTTTATTGTCCCCATTCATTCAAGTGAGACAATAACACAGTGGTTGGTTTGCATTTTCTTTTTCATTTTCAAAACGATTTTTAGTTTTTTCCGAAAACGGCCCGTTTTCCTCGTTTTGAGCGTTTTCGACATTTATAACTGAAAACGATAAAAAGTCGATTTGCGTTTTCAGTTATAAATTTTAACTTGTTTTCGAAAATGTGTTTTCGAAAACGACGGACTAAACGCGTTTTCCGCGTTTTCGAAAACGGAAAATGGGCCGAAAACGGCAAACCAACCACGACCTAATATGCTTACTAAATTTTTTTACTTAATTTGATTTATTTTTAAAAGTTAAATTATTCAAATATATTTGGTAAACTAAAATTTTTATTGTTTATTATATTCCATAAATAATTATAGTTGTTATTTTATATTAGAATTAATGAAATTTTGTGAAAATTTTCTATTTAAAGTATTGAATACTTAAAATAAAAATAAAAAAAGTGGGGGAGGGGTGGGCCCCCGTTACCCCGTACCTACCTCGGGGTAGAATTTTGAATCCCGTACTCGACCCAATTCAGGGGTAGGGTCCGTGGGTACCATGTTTGAGAAGTATTTTTGCCATTCCTAAAATCGAATAGGCTATTTCAATATAACTCTAGTCTGGTTCAAGGGGTTACGGATGAAAGTGCTTACCCTTGTCGCTAGTTATAGCTTTAATAGTTGATTCATCAGGTGAAAATTGTAATAATTTTCAAACTCGAGCGATGAATTTACAATTTTAAAAATTCAAGTGACTAAAATGAAGCTACTTCCAACGGCTTTTATTCTAAAATAATTTGATGAAAAATGCTACTCAGATAGGAAAAAATGGAAAAAAAATAGGGTGATGTGATATCTCATGATTGAGTATTTTTGTGTTTTGTTTTTCCACTTTTAATGAAAATTTGCTAATTGCTAGAACCACATGACTCCGCAACTCTTGATTCTTAGACAATAATTAAAACAATTATATAATTAGAACCATATTGAATAGGGTTGGCAACAGGCCATTTATTTATTTATTTTTATAATTTTTGATAATTCATTTTATTGTCCCTATTCATTCAAGTGAGACAATAAGGTAGTGGTTGGTTTGCATTTTCTTTTTCATTTTCAAAACGATTTTTAGTTTTTTCCGAAAACGGCCCGTTTTCCTCGTTTTGAGCGTTTTCGACATTTATAACTGAAAACGATAAAAAGTCGATTTGCGTTTTCAGTTATAAATTTTAACTTGTTTTCGAAAATGTGTTTTCGAAAACGACGGACTAAACGCGTTTTCCGCGTTTTCGAAAACGGAAAATGGGCCGAAAACGGCAAACCAACCACGACCTAATATGCTTACTAAATTTTTTTACTTAATTTGATTTATTTTTAAAAATTAAATTATTCAAATATATTTGGTAAACTAAAATTTTTATTGTTTATTATATTCCATAAATAATTATAGTTGTTATTTTATATTAGAATTAATGAAATTTTGTGAAAATTTTCTATTTAAAGTATTGAATACTTAAAATAAAAATAAAAAAAGTGGGGGAGGGGTGGGCCCCCGTTACCCCGTACCTACCTCGGGGTAGAATTTTGAATCCCGTACTCGACCCAATTCAGGGGTGGGGTCCGTGGGTACCATGTTTGAGAAGTATTTTTGCCATTCCTAAAATCGAATAGGCTATTTCAATATAACTCTAGTCTGGTTCAAGGGGTTACGGATGAAAGTGCTTACCCTTGTCGCTAGTTATAGCTTTAATAGTTGATTCATCAGGTGAAAATTGTAATAATTTTCAAACTCGAGCGATGAATTTACAATTTTAAAAATTCAAGTGACTAAAATGAAGCTACTTCCAACGGCTTTTATTCTAAAATAATTTGATGAAAAATGCTACTCAGATAGGAAAAAATGGAAAAAAAATAGGGTGATGTGATATCTCATGATTGAGTATTTTTGTGTTTTGTTTTTCCACTTTTAATGAAAATTTGCTAAGTGTAATTTTGGAAAAAAAAAAAATGTCACTGAGTCGATCATGTAACATAATTTGATACCCCCTTTCACGATTTTCATTGTCCAAGTGCATCCGGTTACGTCTACTCCAATTGTGTCCAGTTTGAACTAAACTTCGAGTTTGGGCAGAAATTCTTATATGCGACTTTCGTTAAATCCATCCACACTATTAGTGAGCATCACACAATTAGACCTAGGGTTTGGAATCTAATTCATCAAAATCGTAAAGCATAAACGGAATTATTGTTGGAAAATCCACGAATCGATCGATCGAAGATGTGGCACGAGGCGCGAAGGTCGGAGAAGAAAGTGCACGAAATGATGGATGCCGCTCGGAAGAGAGCGCAGCGCCGAGCCATATACCTGGCCAAGCGCCGGGGCGACCCAAGCCAATCTATTCAAGCCGTCGGAACTCGATGCCGCATCAACCGTGATGAAGCTCTCTACCAGGCTACCGAAGACCAACAGGGCTTGTATGATGGAGTTTTATTTTATCAAAAATTGCTTATTTATTTAAAGAAAAATATTATTTTAATTATTCTATGCTGTTTTTCTATTATTAACTAGGAGGGATTTTTTATTTTTTTATTTTTTTTGAGGATTTATATTGAAAAAGGTGAAAAAGAAATGAGATTTATTAGGTTATCGGATTAGTTAGTACTGATATGAAGGTGATTTTTTATTTATGCACGGGATAATTATTAATTAAGTGCTTCAAAACTGTATTTTGAATACTTTTTGTTTGGATTAGAGCTGCCTTAGTTAGTCATGATTGTATCTGTGATTGATATGTGTTTTATACTTTATATTTTACCAATTTTGCTTTCGTGTTTTGTTTGTTTGATACAGAGTCGTGCTATGGATATGTTTCTCTTAGTGGGCATTATGCTAGAGTTATGACTTTTCTTTCTGCAAAATTCACTCTCTACGGCAATGCTTATGTAATATAGTTGGTGAATTTTCATGTCTAAATAAACTGTGGGTACCTTAAAATTAATGTTTTTTTCTTTGAGCAAGCTGTTGATTCTGCATTGAATCGTTGACAAGAAACTGAGATGTTGGGTATTTTAAGAATCTGTATACTCGTGTTTGCATCTGTGTCACTTAATCATGCAAAATTGAAAAAATTGCATGAAGTAGTATCATCCTGTCTTTTCAACATAAAACATTTCTTACAACAAATATACTTATTCTATTCATTTTTGCTAGATGTTATAACGAACATGTTTCAGTCCCATCCATTCCTTCGTATTCTGTGGCAATCTTATGAGTTCTCATGTAGTTACTATATTCTCCGCATGGCTTCAATAATTAAATAAGTTCATTCCACTGATAAATGCGACCTAACATTTTTGCCTCCTGATCAGGATACCCTGGAATGGGAAACAGGATGTTATGATTGACAGGTAATACAATTTTAGTTACCTGTCTGTACGGAAAGCATTGTTCAAAACACATGTTTCAGGATTGGGATTTGGAGATGTTGGCGGATTAACCTGCTATTACTGATTAACTTTACTTTTATCAGATTTGATGGGCGTGCTCTTCTTGATTTTATTCGTGATAGTAGCACACGCCGTCCTCAAGTTGCAGAAAAAACTGAGGAAGAAGAGGAGTTAGAAGAGTTTGTTAGTTTTGAGCGTTACCGGGATTTAATTAAGCATCGGCGTAGAGGATGTCGGTACTTTTTTTATTTGTCATAATCTGTTTGATTTACAACAACTTTTGTATTTTTACCATTTGTTTTACATTATCTTTTAGTGAATGTAGATAACAATACCTCCCTTTTCTATTTAGAGTAATTTTCTGATATTTTATGAAAACTGACAAGACCCTTTAGCAGTTACTGATGAGGAGGGACTGCAGCACGTTAACCAAGAGATGGAGGCTAAGATCAGTGCGTATTTTGGATCGCACAGGTTCAGACCTTTTCTTTTCTGTTTTATTTTTTACAAAGCAAAACAGCAGTCAATGGGAAGAGGCTCTCTACATTTAAATTTTGAATTGCTTGTTATTTAGCATTTAAATTTGCATTACAATTTCCAAAGGGACGCATGCAAACTCTGAAAACACTTCGTAATGAGAATGACAGTCATCTTAAAGTGTTCACTTTTGGTTTTCCTTTACAGAGACTTTTGTCTTTTTCCATTACTGCTACTTCCTTGTTTCTTTATGATTGCTCTTTGTTTATCAATATAGAAATTTCTTTCATGTAGCATGATGATGGAGTATATATTAAGCTCCCTGTTTATATCATTGGTTTGATCATTTTCCCTATTTTTGGGTAATGGCGAATACAGTAAATCTCATGCGGCTCAGCCGCCAGCAAGCAAGGGGCCTTATTCGCAAGTTGGTTTCTCTTATGATGGAGATGAAAAGGAGGAAACTCAAGATTTAGATGGCGATGAAGATGATGACGATGAAGAGGACTATTATGAGGAGGATTTTAACAGTGATGACAGCAATGATGAATTGATGGAGTCAATTGCAAAAGAATTCGGAGTAAAGAGGTATGGATGGCTTGTATACATGGATAAAAAGGCTAAAGAAGAGCAAAGGAGGCAAAAAGAAGTCATCAAGGGAGACCCTTCAATTGTAAGTTTGTCAATAAATTCAATTGGAAACTTGGAATTATGGTTCTCTTGGGATCAATACAGCCTTATTACCCATATATTGGATTACTGTGAATTTTATAGAAAAAGCTTAGTCGCAAGGAAAGAAGGAAGGTTTCTCAGATGGAAAGAGAGAAGGAAAGAGAAGCTGCAAGGATAAATGGAATTAGAGTGCTTCATCACGATCCATATCGGTAATGTCATGTGTTTCTTCCATGCATTTGCAATGTTAAAAGGTTGTATGCACACAGGATATAAATGTGACTCAGTAATATCTGGCTGTGACAATGTAGTTACCTTTGATGATTTGCAGTGAATCGAGGCGAAGTCCTACTTATGAAGCTTATTCACGATCTAGAAGGTGGATATTCTCGTTCTTTTACTGTTAAATGTAAGTAAACTGGTGGGAAATTGTTAACTATCTTCTCTTTTCGTAGATCGAGGTCGAAGTCTCGGTCCTACTCTCCATCACAGTCAAGGCGTCATGCACATGGATCACACTCTGACGATCTTCATCGAGGCAAAGACAGGGCTCCAAAAATAGAATATATTACAGAATTTGGAGGCTTTGATGATGGGGACGCGCCAAAGCTTGAAGGATATTCTCCACCACCATCTCCTTCGTCCCATACTGATGCATTGAATCGGTCGGAGCACTCGACCTTTAATTCTTGCAAAGATAGATTGGACAGTCTTTACTCTGCTGCAGCTAATCGTCCATTTTGTTACCTGAGCCAAACTTTTGTGGTTTAGAATAGATCATGCTTAGGGTAGACAGCTTAACTGCCATGCGGGAGAGGGAAGGAAGCTTCCTTTTTGAAGCTCGTTGTTCCCTGAGTTGGACTTCATGTGACTGCATCTGAGTTCCAGGAAGTATTGTAAAGTTTTTTTCTAATGCTTATGCTTTCCTGCAGGCCATCGTCTGGTCGTATACTAGAGGCTCTTCATGTAGATCCGGCATCTGGTGTATCTCTTGACAAAGAAAAGAATGCCAAACTCTTGAAGCCAACAACGAGGTATCTCATGGTGTTTAGCCTTACCTTTTACATTAGTTTGTGTTTATTGGATAGTTCTCTTCGTTGTTTACTATATTTGTTTCTATTGATTCCCTTGGCAGCACGTCCTCAGCACTAGCAAAATTGAGCAAAACCACCAGTAGTGGGAGCCTCTCTAAGCAACAGGGTGAGAAGAAGGAAACACCTCAAGAACGACTTAAACGGATCATGAGCAGTCAACTGAACAAACAGAGTATGCTTGCTCAATATTCATAATAAACTGTAGCATTTGATGAGGATTGGCATTTTTTCCTCTCTTTGTTGATTAAGTTGCATGGCTGCATGATATTATCATGTTCATTGTGACATGACCAATTTCTTTGCAGTAAAAAAAGATACAGCTATTGAAATAGCTAAGAAACGAGAGCAAGAGCGACAGAGGCTCAAAAAACTAGCTGAAACAAGCCATGTTAGCCGATATCGGAGACGAAGCCATAGTAGAAGTTACAGTCGCTCTCCTCCAAGGTGTATATCTATACCTACTTTGCTTTTGGCTGTTGATTCAAGGATTGTTCCCCTTTTTTCCCCTTGGGTTGGGGGATAGCAATTTGCTGCTGGTGTAGTTCTTCCTTGTTCTTTGAGGATGCACTTTTTGCTGAATTTGGTTTTTCGTAGGGCCAAGACTTACCAGGTCAATATTTTCTTGAACTGAGTCTTTTTTGATACTCTTCTTCATTTAAATTTGACGATGGGCTGGAGAACTACTTTGCTGTGATATCTGCTTTCTAAGTAAGGTATTAAAACTGAAAACAAGAAAAAATTGGGTGGATTCAAGGTTTGGTCTCTCTAAAGCAGTGAATTGGGATTCCCATTATCGGTTGTATATTTATCCAGGCCCAGTCCTATGTACAAATGGCACCTTCTGCCAGAAATCTTTACTTTTCTGGATGTCCCCAAAACTGATGGTGAAGATACATGTCTTTGTGGTGGGACTTCGCAAGAGCTCTTCATCTATAAGCTCTTCAAGCTCGCCACTTTTATATAATTTTTTCTGGTTTTATTGCTTTTATCAGATAGTTTCTTGTTTACATTTTTCATGTTTTCTGTTGCAGAAGATACAGACGCAGTAGGAGTCCAAGCAGGGGTAGGAGTTCTCGGAAATATCGATCGTCTCACTCCCAGTCTCGCTCTGGATCTCGTTCTCAGACGCGTTCACGTTCACCCTCATACTCCTATAGTTCTCGATCTCACTCCCGTTCATGCTCTCCTCGGTAAAGTGTCATCTCTTGGGTTCAGCTCCTGTTTACCACCCTCTGCTTGCTAATAACCGTAAGATATTTCAGGGGAAGAAGACGGTCAAGGTATTGAAAATGATTTTACATTGGAATACGAGAAAGTGCAAGCAGACGTATTCAGCTGGCTGTCTGTAGTTAGTCCTCGTGTCCTTGGTGCCAGTTCGTCCCAGCTGGGGTTAAGTTGAAAGAATAACGTCCTGCAGGCTGCAAGCAACCTGGTTGGTCTACTGTACCGCTTAACATTATATATAACTGAAATGTGTGTATTTGAAGAATCTTTTTCCGCCAGATGGTTATTGGCGCCATGAGCTATGTTTAGGGAGGTTAGCCTGTGGCACTTAACTAAAGTTTAGCCGAAACATGCAAAATGTCTGATTAAACTTGAATTCCGGATCATTGAGTGAATCTTCTCTTGGTTAGCTTTTGTATGATTTTCAGGTTCTTATATTTGAGTTGCCGAATGTGTCTCAACTTGACTTTTAGGCAGAAGATTAACAAGGGAAACTGATCCACCTATTGTGAGCAGTGAAATATGAACTTATTTACACTTCATTTCGAAGTACATGGATATTTGGAAGGCCTCCCCAAATTTGTTCGGTTAAGCTTAAAGGGTCAGTAGTAAGATTGGTCTGGAACATTCATCGATTTCTTTTAATTGTTCGTGGGCTTGCAAGTGACTTACTGCTTTTGGCCTACTCTGGTCGATGCTCAAAAGTTCCCGAATAGTGCGAAAAGCCTTGTGGTTAGAGTTTGTGTCTGCACTTTCAATACTTTTTCTATGATCTTTAGTATGAATTCATAATAATTGAATATCCAAATGGTATGTTTGGTAAGGAGAATTAGATCAGACTTTAAAAAACTTTAAATGAAATATATAAATTAAAATTTCATTTTTTCTACCGTGACATTTAAAACTGAACTGCTCATGTTATTTTATTGTTTTTTTTGTAGAAATATACCAATGTAACCTTAAACTGTGAATGATGTAATGAAAACTAATTTGTTGTAGCTTCCATTTCTTAGAGCATTTTTAAGGTGGTTCTTATTTTAATAAGTATTTTGATCATAATAGAGTATTTTTTAAATTTAAAGAGAATTTTTTTTACACTTCAACAAACTCCTATTGTTTGCTTTCTGTTTCTTATTTCAACAATTATTTATAATTTTTCCATCAATTTTCAGCTAATATTATTATTTTTCGATATCATCAGTTAAAATATTCAATATAATATAAATAATTTAAATAGTGGAAAACTGAAACTTGAAATTTTAAGAAAATGCGAGCGGACGATTAATTTGATTTCCCAAATTTAGATAGTTTAACTTTGACTCGTCAAAATAAAAAATAAAAAATTATTTATTTTTAAAGGATGTTTTCACGCTATTATTTGGCATTTCATGGATCCCATGCAGCACCACCTTGCCCATGGGATTCCTTTTCCATTCGTATCTATATGAAAACTTGAAAGCTAAAGGTGCATTTGATTTACGTTTCTATTTTATGTTTTCAATTTTGAATTTATTTTCTATTTGATTTACGTTTCTATTTTCTGTTTTCAATTTTGAATTTATTTTCTATTTTCTGTTTTGATGGATTATTTTAAGATTTCAGAGAACGCATTTGATTTGTCGTTCTGAAATTTTTTTTTTCAAAGCAAAACTAGAAAACACATTTGGTTTAAAAATTTTAAAAATAATATTATGACATTTTTTCAGTTAATTTGATTAGCTAATAAAACATATCAAATTTATGCTAATATGTGAACAAAAAACATAAATTTTAAAATTGGAAAGAGAAAGAGGGGGGGGGGGGTTCATTTTAAGTATATTTCCAATAATTGCATCAAAATCATCCGTAGATAATATTTTGAGAGAAAGAATGAGATATAGGTATTTGTGTTTGGGTGATTTTATTAATTATTTCAATTTGAGAAATTTTTCAATTTATTTTTCTTGTTTTGAGTTTTTTGAGTGTTTTCATTGAAAACACTTAAAACATCGAAAAGTCATTTTGAGTTTTATGTTATAAAATTTTCCTTGTTGCTGAAAACCCATTTTTTAAATTAACATATCAAATACGTTTTGAATGTTTTAAAAAATTAAAAATTGAAAATGGCATACCCACCAAGCCATTGCTTTATTCTTTCTCGATCACACGCATGCATCCCACTTTCAGGGATCACAATCCATCTTGCCAATCTTCCATTCTTACTTTTTCGAATGAAATTACTTGTGCTGAAAGTGATCTCTACTTTAATGTGATTTATTTATGTATATGTGAAATAAAATTTACTCAAGCTTTTCCAAAATGGTTATAAGTACATGAAAATGAAAATTGCGTCATAACGATCGTTGTAACATTCTCATCTCTATTCTATTTCTTTTGCTAGAAGAACTCCCTCTTAGACGTTAACGAGAATGTGTCCCTTGATTATTTTTGATTTTTTGAGAAGTGATTTAGTGAAAATTACTTTTCTTTAAAGAATGTGTGATTAAAAATAAGAAAAAGTTATAAGTTCATGTGTATAATTATTTTGTTTAGAGAACGTGAGTGAAATGAGTTTGAGTAAAAGTAATTTTCAAAAAAAAATTCGAAAAAAGGTATAACATATAATTTTATTTATTTATATATTTTTTTTCAACTTTGAAAATTAAGTAAGTTACTTATCATGAGAGTGACCTGACAATTAAAAAAATGTAATTTTTCTTACTTATTAATTATTAGTATGAAAAAATCAACATATCCGAACAAATTTAAAAGCAAAAAATTCGTAAAAGTTTGATTCCAATACCTCGTAACCTTCCATTCTCACCTTTTCCTCTCACTATCGATCCCTAGCTTTTGTCTATACCTATCTTCTTAGATATAATAATAAAACAAAAGTAAGATCACCACACGGGGGATATGATACGATTACTTTAATGCACTTTTGCTTTAAAACCTTTTTACAAAGTATTTTTATTTAAATAGATTTTTATTTTTACAGTGACCCTTTTATCACTTATTCCCGTTATTTATATTCATACTTCGTTTTATGTGATCTCGCTAGAATAAATTAGTCTTTCTATTATGGTAAAAAGACAACGATAACTTCAACATCCATCACATAATTGTTCGATATCGTGTTTTAAGTACGTATTTGATCGATATCGTTTTAAATAAGTACTTTATAGATTTTTTTTAATATTGTTATGTGCCCTACCAATCCAAGCCATGATCTAAAATGCATTCTTTTCTGTAAATGAATCTTAACAATATAATTACTAAATAGCTACTAGAAAGTAAAAATATTATTTAATATTGAGAAGCATTATTTAGGTATATAAAGAATGGAGAAATGAAAGGCAATCCTGTTTTTTGGGGAAACCAACTTGGTTAGGCTTTAACACCCATTATTCCTACTAATATAGAGAACTAATATCTCAATCAATTTTTAATTATTAGAATATTGATAGAGCACATGGGCAGGCAACCTCGCATATATTTTAATTCCCTATTTGATTATCATTATTTTTCAAACTTACGTACTCATTTTTCATCACATATTTACACGATAAAATATTTTACACGTAAATTTAAAATTTTTTTTCTACTTTTTAACTACACATTTATTTAAAAATTACTATTCAGAACTCTTTTTTTCTAATAATGACTGTCAAACAGGGGCTAAATTAAGTCGACATTTCATGTTTAGTATATTATATTGAATAAACTAGTACTAAATATTTTAATATATATAAATATAAATATTTTTATGTCTCTTCTTTATAATCTTTCCAATTTAATCGATGTAATGTATCAAGATAGTGTTAAAATATTTTACATGTTATCTTAATCTCATTTTGTGAGATTAGCCCCCATGTTAGATGGGAATTATTTATTTATTTATTTATTTTAAGAATGAGTTTTTGAATAGAAAATATGAGGAGAATGATGATTAAAAAATAAAAAAAAAATTTGAATTTACGTAAAAATATTTTATTGTGAGAATGTGTGGTCAAAAATGAGTATGAGAAAAAAAATGAGAAGATAATATGAGAGAATGGTTGTCAAACAAAGGCTAATAATTAATTATATGTAATGATATTGCTATTGTCACGTTAGATCTACCCTACAAGTGATTCAAATCTTGTAAATGTGGTTTATCTTATGTTTTTGTTTCTTTGGTAATTATTTCGTAATCAAAATAATGTGTGTTTTCTTTTATTCTTCGAGGTAATTTTACAGGCAAAATTTTCACATATTACACAATTATTACATCATTATGATGTCAGTGTTTTTATTACATACTCTCTCGTCCCAATTATATAAGTTGAGTTTCATTTGTCTCTTGTCCCAAATATATAGGCATGTTTTCTAATTTAGAATATTTTGTTTTCTTCTTTTGCCAATATACCTTATTCAATTTTCTCGACTTAATAGGCTAACTTTTTAAAATCATTCAAAGACACATATTTCTCACTTCTTGAAACTCTCATTTCTTCTTTTTCAAATTAAATCATTCAAATTATTTACTAATTTCAACAATAATTCACTATTTCATACTGAAAATTAAATAGGGATAAACTAGAAAAGATCTTGACAAAAATTAATTTTTCAATGACATTAAAGAAGATTTCTTAATCCGTGTAGAAAACGAAACAAACCTATATAATTGAGACGGTGGGTATAAATCTAAAATTTTTCTCACTTTTTAATCACACATTCCCCAAATAATTATTTCAAAATACATTTTTCTCAAAATTTCATTAAAATAGAGTCTAAACAATGGCTAAGTGTCTGTCACTTAAATAACAAGAATATAACTCATGTTTGGTCTCTTTTAATTTTTTTAACAAATTTATTTTACCCACGAATTCACGTGATCCACAATTTTTATTAATTTTTCAATCATATATTTTATTATTATTTTTTTATATCAAAATTTACTAAAATTTTAATTTTAACAAAATCAAACGGGACATATTATACAGATATCCTATTCACTTGTCCGTTGTGGGAGCGTACTCGTGCTTTTAATTAGTCTCATAATTATTGCACCGAAAAAAATTAATTATAGAAACGTGCATATCAAACTGGACTATCGACATCTGTCTTAAACTGTACTACGTTTAAGAACAATTGTGGTGGTGGGGGGCGGGTCACTCGTATGCAGGGTGGGGTGCAACCTAAATTAGGGCAATTTAACATAATTTTTGAGAAGCGAAGAGGAATTTTTGATGTTCAATATGATTTTTTCTAAAATCATTTACTAATTTTATGAAAGTGTTTTCATATAGTTAGAAGGGTTTTTAGAAAAAAGTTGGTTCAATATGATTTCGTTTAAAATTATTTTCAAAATAGAAAATTCTTTTAGAAATTAGTTTTCAAGCAAAAATAAAGAATAAATTAGTCTTTCTATTATGGTAAAAAGACAACGATAACTTCAACATCCATCACATAATTGTTCGATATCGTGTTTTAAGTACGTATTTGATCGATATCGTTTTAAATATGTACTTTATAGATATTTTTTTAATATTGTTATGTGCCCTACCAATCCAAGCCATGATCTAAAATGCATTCTTTTCTGTAAATGAATCTTAACAATATAATTACTAAATAGCTACTAGAAAGTAAAAATATTATTTAATATTGAGAAGCATTATTTAGGTATATAAAGAATGGAGAAATGAAAGGCAATCCTGTTTTTTGGGGAAACCAACTTGGTTAGGCTTTAACACCCATTATTCCTACTAATATAGAGAACTAATATCTCAATCAATTTTTAATTATTAGAATATTGATAGAGCACATGGGCAGGCAACCTCGCATATATTTTAATTCCCTATTTGATTATCATTATTTTTCAAACTTACGTACTCATTTTTCATCACATATTTACACGATAAAATATTTTACACGTAAATTCAAAATTTTTTTTCTTCTTTTTAACTACACATTTATTTAAAAATTACTATTCAGAACTCTTTTTTTCTAATAATGACTGTCAAACAGGGGCTAAATTAAGTCGACATTTCATGTTTAGTATATTATATTGAATAAACTAGTACTAAATATTTTAATATATATAAATATAAATATTTTTATGTCTCTTCTTTATAATCTTTCCAATTTAATCGATGTAATGTATCAAGATAGTGTTAAAATATTTTACATGTTATCTTAATCTCATTTTGTGAGATTAGCCCCCATGTTAGATGGGAATTATTTATTTATTTATTTATTTTAAGAATGAGTTTTTGAATAGAAAATATGAGGAGAATGATGATTAAAAAATAAAAAAAATTTGAATTTACGTAAAAATATTTTATTGTGAGAATGTGTGATCAAAAATGAGTATGAGAAAAAAAATGAGAAGATAATATGAGAGAATGGTTGTCAAACAAAGGCTAATAATTAATTATATGTAATTGGATACAATACGAGATAAATGATAAAATGCGATCAATTTTTAGCTCAATTACACTACATTGGTCTCACCTTTACTACCAATTTCAATTCGATATGTGCTCATATTGAGTTTGAATACAAGTTTGGATGAGCTCGAGTACCTTTGAGAAAGAGAAATGACACTAGTTAATAATTATAAGACTACCAACTATTATTAATTACGTATTAAAAAAAAAAAAATCTTTGCCAGAAAGATTCCTTTATTTCTCACTTGCAGCTTGACAATGAGTTATTAGGTAATTGTCACATGGAGCGTTGAAATAGGGAAGCAATTGGATCATTGGTCAATTGGGAGTAAGAAATAGACCTTCCCTCCTTATAATTCAAACTTACTAGAATTTGCAATGACTATGAAAAAAGAAAAGGTAGGGTATCAAAGATAGAACAATTATACATATGTTTAATGTTTAAATAAATAAGTCCTCGTTGAAATAGTATACTATTATATTTAGTCGAGTTTTCACAACTTTTGAGGTAGGATTGAAATTGACCGATCAACTTCTAGTGAACACATATTTCTCACTTCTTGAAACTCTCATTTCTTCTTTTTCAAATTAAATCATTCAAATTATTTACTAATTTCAACAATAATTCACTATTTCATACTGAAAATTAAATAGGGATAAACTAGAAAAGATATTGACAAAAATTAATTTTCCAATGACATTAAAGAAGATTTCTTAATCCGTGTAAAAAACGAAACAAACCTATATAATTGGGACGGTAAGTATAAATCTAAAATTTTTCTCACTTTTTAATCACACATTCCCCAAATAATTATTTCAAAATACATTTTTCTCAAAATTTCATTAAAATAGAGTCTAAACAAGGGCTAAGTGTCTATCACTTAAATAACAAGAATATAACTCATGTTTGGTCTCTTTTAATTTTTTTAACAAATTTATTTTACCCACGAATTCACGTGATCGGAAAAATGAATTATAATTTAATGAAAAATAATGAGACGAAAGAGGAGCTAAATATCACGAGAATGTGGGCCGGTCCTGTACAAACATGAAGCTGCTTTTAGTTTTGGACCCCTTTTGCTTCAAAATAAATACACATATCTAACAATAAATCTATTGTTTTAAACTAAATTATTAAATAATTAATCTATCACTAAATCATATATTTTATTATTATTTTTTTATATCAAAATTTACTAAAATTTTAATTTTAACAAAATCAAACGGGACATATTATACAGATATCCTATTCACTTGTCCGTTGTGGGAGCGTACTCGTGCTTTTAATTAGTCTCATAATTATTGCACCGAAAAAAATTAATTATAGAAACGCGCATATCAAACTGGACTATCGACATCTGTCTTAAACTGTACTAAGTTTAAGAACAATTGTGGTGGTGGGGGGCGGGTCACTCGTATGCAGGGTGGGGTGCAACCTAAATTAGGGCAATTTAACATAATTTTTGAGAAGCGAAGAGGAATTTTTGATATTCAATATGATTTTTTCTAAAATCATTTACTAATTTTATGAAAGTGTTTTCATATAGTTAGAAGGGTTTTTAGAAAAAGTTGGTTCAATATGATTTCGTTTAAAATTATTTTCAAAATAGAAAATTCTTTTAGAAATTAGTTTTCAAGCAAAAATAACAATAACTCTTCACAGAAAGTAAAAGCAATACCAAATGAACCCTATTTCAATTATGTTTTCGTGTTTGGTTGAACATTTTCAAAGCTTTTTTGTGTACTGCGCCTTTTATAGATAGCATTTTTTAGTATCATGTTGTGTCATATATATATTTGTTGGATGATATTGGACTTCTCTTATTTCAAAAGTTAGTTCAAGAGGTGATGTTTTTTCTCGCACTTATAAACTGAAATCCAACTCCATCCACAACCGACGTGGGACTACCTCAACATATTTTGGGCCTCTGTTTTTGTGCAGTTTATCAAATCAAGTGATTTTGGTTAGCTTAAGATGGAACCCCACCGTGCCTGGGATCCGTGGATGAAAAATTGCTTTATTCAATCATTTTCACGACGTTTGTCACTGATCTTTGCAAATTTCCACCACTGCATGGGTATTCATTATTGGTGGATAAATCAAGAAACTATTGGATACAATACGAGATAAATGATAAAATGCGATCAATTTTTAGCTCAATTACACTACATTGGTCTCACCTTTACTACCAATTTCAATTCGATATGTGCTCATATTGAGTTTGAATACAAGTTTGGATGAGCTCGAGTACCTTTGAGAAAGAGAAATGACACTAGTTAATAATTATAAGACTACCAACTATTATTAATTACGTATTAAAAAAAAAAAAATCTTTGCCAGAAAGATTCCTTTATTTCTCACTTGCAGCTTGACAATGAGTTATTAGGTAATTGTCACATGGAGCGTTGAAATAGGGAAGCAATTGGATCATTGGTAAATTGGGAGTAAGAAATAGACCTTCCCTCCTTATAATTCAAACTTACTAGAATTTGCAATGACTATGAAAAAAGAAAAGGTAGGGTATCAAAGATAGAACAATTATACATATGTTTAATGTTTAAATAAATAAGTCCTCGTTGAAATAGTATACTATTATATTTAGTCGAGTTTTCACAACTTTTGAGGTAGGATTGAAATTGACCGATCAACTTCTAGTGTTGATTGATCGAATATTATCCTTTCGTCCATCAAATTACCAATTTAAAACAACATAGGAATTTTGATACTGAGTAAAATTATCGAAAAAATGTGTGATTGATAAAAAGACGGAAAAATGAATTATAATTTAATGAAAAATAATGAGACGAAAGAGGAGCTAAATATCACGAGAATGTGGGCCGGTCCTGTACAAACATGAAGCTGCTTTTAGTTTTGGACCCCTTTTGCTTCAAAATAAATACACATATCTAACAATAAATCTATTGTTTTAAACTAAATTATTAAATAATTAATCTATCACTACCATTATATACTTCTAACGAAAATATTAAAAAGGAAAAGAAAGAAAAAAGAGAGAAATTTTATTTTATGAATAAAATCTGAAAGTGGGCCCCCCTGTGTCATGCTATAAATATCTGTCCATTTATTTTCCTTTCCCAATTTTTCATTTCAGTATTGGCTTCACTTCGTCGTTCCACTTTCCACTCTCTCTGAAAGTTCACCGGCCACACAAAATCAGAACCATTTCTCCCGCTCGATTTCCCGGTAAATTAGAAGAATGGTTGACGTCGAACGGAGGATGACCGGTTTAAACCCGGCGCACGTAGCCGGCCTCCGTCGTCTCTCGGCCAGAGCCGCCGCCTCCACCCCTTCCACACCTCTTCCGCCGCGTGATAGCCTCCTCTCCTTTTCTTCCCTTGCAGATAAAGTCATTACTCATCTAAAGAACTCGGGAATACAAGTCCAACCAGGATTATCCGAGTCCGAGTTCGCATTGGCCGAGGCGGAGTTTGGCTTTACCTTTCCGCCGGACCTGAAAGCTGTTCTCTCAGCCGGATTTCCCCTCGGCGCCGGTTTCCCTGACTGGCGCTCCTCTCGTTCCGCTCGGCATCACCTCCGCTCCGCCATTGATCTTCCTATCGCCTCCATTTCCTTTCACATAGCTCGGAACTCCTTCTGGTCCAAGTCATGGGGAACCAGACCATCTGACCCGGAAAAGGCCCTGAAAATAGCCCGAAACGCACTTAAAAGGGTCCCTCTTTTGATACCCGTTTTCAACCATCGTTACATTCCTTGCAATCCTTGTCTAGCAGGAAACCCCATATTCTACGTCGATGAAAACAGGATTTTCTTATGTGGATTCGACTTATCAGACTTCTTTGATCGTGAATCTTCTCTATTTCGAAGCCCTAATCAGAATTTACTCTCCAAGCAGCTCTCTATAAGTGAAAAATCAGGCAGATCATCGACGAATTCTTCGAGAAGAAGTCTAGACACTGTCTCCGTTACAAGAACGCCACGGTGGGTGGAGTTCTGGAGCGACGCCGCTATCAATCGCCGCCGGCTGGATACAATACGAGATAAATGATAAAATGCGATCAATTTTTAGGTCAATTACACTGCATTGGTCTCACCTTTACTACCAATTTCAATTCGATATGTGCTCATATTGAGTTTGAATACAAGTTTGGATGAGCTCGAGTACCTTTGAGAAAGAGAAATGACACTAGTTAATAATTATAAGACTACCAACTATTATTAATTACGTATTAAAAAAAAAAAATTGTCAGTTTTGAGAGAAGGCGGGTGGGCAGAATCTGACATCTCTGAGATCGCACACGTTCCAGCATCTGGATTCTTTGATGGAGAGATGGTGATGCTGGACAATCAAGCAGTTCTTGATGCTTTGTTATTGAAGACAGGTAAATTGGGAGTAAGAAATAGACCTTCCCTCCTTATAATTCAAACTTACTAGAATTTGCAATGACTATGAAAAAAGAAAAGGTAGGCTATCAAAGATAGAACAATTATACATATGTTTAATGTTTAAATAAATAAGTCATCGTTGAAATAGTATACTATTATATTTAGTCGAGTTTTCACAACTTTTGAGGTAGGATTGAAATTGACCGATCAACTTCTAGTGTTGATTGATCGAATATTATCCTTTCGTCCATCAAATTACCAATTTAAAACAACATAGGAATTTTGATACTGAGTAAAATTATCGAAAAAATGTGTGATTGATAAAAAGATAGAAAAATGAATTATAATTTAATGGAAAATAATGAGAGAAAGAGGAGCTAAATATCACCAGAATGTGGGCCGGTCATGTACAAACATGAAGCTGCTTTTAGTTTTGGATCCCTTTTGCTTCAAAATAAATACACATATCTAACAATAAATCTATTGTTTTAAACTAAATTATTAAATAATTAATCTATCACTACCATTATATACTTCTAACGAAAATATTAAAAAGGAAAAGAAAGAAAAAAGAGAGAAATTTTATTTTATGAATAAAATCTGAAAGTGGGCCCCCTGTGTCATGCTATAAATATCTGTCCATTTATTTTCTTTTCCCAATTTTTCATTTCAGTATTGGCTTCACTTCGTCGTTCCACTTTCCACTCTCTCTGTGAAATTTCACCGGCCACCCAAAATCAGAACCATTTCTCCCGCTCGATTTCCTGGTAAATTAGAAGAATGGTTGACGTCGAACGGAGGATGACCGGTTTAAACCCGGCCCACGTAGCCGGCCTTCGTCGTCTCTCGGCAAGAGCGGCCGCCTCCACCCCTTCCACACCTCTTCCGCCGCGTGATAGCCTCCTCTCCTTTTCTTCCCTTGCAGATAAAGTCATTACACATCTCAAGAACTCGGGAATTCAAGTCCAACCAGGATTATCCGAGTCCGAGTTCGCATTGGCCGAGGCGGAGTTTGGCTTTACCTTTCCGCCGGACCTGAAAGCTGTTCTCTCAGCCGGATTTCCCCTCGGCGCCGGTTTCCCTGACTGGCGCTCCTCTCGTTCCGCTCGGCATCACCTCCGCTCCGCCATTGATCTTCCTATCGCCTCCATTTCCTTTCACATAGCTCGGAACTCCTTCTGGTCCAAGTCATGGGGAACCAGACCATCTGACCCGGAAAAGGCCCTGAAAATAGCCCGAAACGCACTTAAAAGGGTCCCTCTTTTGATACCCGTTTTCAACCATCGTTACATTCCTTGCAATCCTTCTCTAGCAGGAAACCCCATATTCTACGTCGATGAAAGCAGGATTTTCTTATGTGGATTCGACTTATCAGACTTCTTTGATCGTGAATCTTCTCTATTTCGAAGCCCTAATCAGAATTTACTCTCCAAGCAGCTCTCTATAAGTGAAAAATCAGGCAGATCATCGACGAATTCTTCGAGAAGAAGTCTAGACACTGTCTCCGTTACAAGAACGCCACGGTGGGTGGAGTTCTGGAGCGACGCCGCTATCAATCGCCGCCGGAGGAACTCAGATTCCTCATCTACGTCTTCATCGTCGCCAGACAGATATTCCGACATGCCAAGATACGAAGTCCCCGACTGGGTCGAGGAATACGTGTCCCATATCGGGTCAGTTTTGAGAGAAGGCGGGTGGGCAGAATCTGACATCTCTGAGATCGCACACGTTCCAGCATCTGGATTCTTTGATGGAGAGATGGTGATGCTGGACAATCAAGCAGTTCTTGATGCTTTGTTATTGAAGACAGATCGGTTCTCGGATATGCTCCGGAAAGCCGGGTGGAGATCCGACGAGGTTTCGGATGCTCTTGGATTCGATTTCCGATTGGTAGAAAGGAATCCATCGAAGAAATTGTCACCGGAATTGCTCGAGAGACTCGGAAAACTGACAAAGTCGTTCACTCAACCGTATTAATCATCTTTAATCTCCATATTCTTCGCACTTTTGTCTTTTCAAAAGCCTCCGATTTGCTCTCCACCTCCTTTGCGAACCTGAGATAAATCACTCAGGCTGAAAAAAAAAAAAAAAAGGAATAAATTGTTATCAATTATTCTACACTTCTACTTGGAAATATGATTTTGTACATATAGATTGACAGATGAATACATGATATCCATTTGTCCGATTTAAATTTCTGAAATTCAATTTATCTATACAAAAATTCTGTACATATAAAAGAATTCAATTGTTATTATAACGTTAGTTCAGTCGACTACTACAAGTCAAATGTAGTACTGCAATATATATCGAGGAGGTCGGACGGTATGGAAGGATTATCTTACACATTGTGAAATCAAATGGAAAAGGTATTAGTTTAAAATTGAATGATATACAACAAATAATTTGTAATTTGTTACAAGTAATTGTTGTATTATAATGGAATTGTCTGTGCTCGTTTTCATGTTGTAATCTTGAACTAGTTGGACATGTAATGTACAAATGTTAGATAAGATTGATCAATATAATAAATAAAATTTTGATTTCTTACTTTTTTGGTACAGCATTATTTAATATCTGTTTCTAAATGTTAGTAGATGAATGGTGGGGGTGAGGCCAAGTGAGAGAAATTGCTATTGCTTTCGAGCTACGGCGTCGTTTTCATGTGTAGAATGTAGGGTGGAAAATTGCTGTGTCATGCTATAAATATCTGTCCATTTATTTTCTTTTCCCAATTTTTCATTTCAGTATTGGCTTCACTTCGTCGTTCCACTTTCCACTCTCTCTGTGAAATTTCACCGGCCACCCAAAATCAGAACCATTTCTCCCGCTCGATTTCCTGGTAAATTAGAAGAATGGTTGACGTCGAACGGAGGATGACCGGTTTAAACCCGGCCCACGTAGCCGGCCTTCGTCGTCTCTCGGCAAGAGCGGCCGCCTCCACCCCTTCCACACCTCTTCCGCCGCGTGATAGCCTCCTCTCCTTTTCTTCCCTTGCAGATAAAGTCATTACACATCTCAAGAACTCGGGAATTCAAGTCCAACCAGGATTATCCGAGTCCGAGTTCGCATTGGCCGAGGCGGAGTTTGGCTTTACCTTTCCGCCGGACCTGAAAGCTGTTCTCTCAGCCGGATTTCCCCTCGGCGCCGGTTTCCCTGACTGGCGCTCCTCTCGTTCGGCTCGGCATCACCTCCGGTCCGCCATTGATCTTCCTATCGCCTCCATTTCCTTTCACATAGCTCGGAACTCCTTCTGGTCCAAGTCATGGGGCACCAGACCATCTGACCCGGAAAAGGCCCTGAAAATAGCCCGAAACGCACTTAAAAGGGTCCCTCTTTTGATACCCGTTTTCAACCATCGTTACATTCCTTGCAATCCTTCTCTAGCAGGAAACCCCATATTCTACGTCGATGAAAGCAGGATTTTCTTATGTGGATTCGACTTATCAGACTTCTTTGATCGTGAATCTTCTCTATTTCGAAGCCCTAATCAGAATTTACTCTCCAAGCAGCTCTCTATAAGTGAAAAATCAGGCAGATCATCGACGAATTCTTCAAGAAGAAGTCTAGACACTGTCTCCGTTACAAGAACGCCACGGTGGGTGGAGTTCTGGAGCGACGCCGCTATCAATCGCCGCCGGAGGAACTCAGATTCCTCATCTACGTCTTCATCGTCGCCAGACAGATATTCCGACATGCCAAGATACGAAGTCCCCGACTGGGTCGAGGAATACGTGTCCCATATCGGATCAGTTTTGAGAGAAGGCGGGTGGGCAGAATCTGACATCTCTGAGATCGCGCACGTTCCAGCATCTGGATTCTTTGATGGAGAGATGGTGATGCTGGACAATCAAGCAGTTCTTGATGCTTTGTTATTGAAGACAGATCGGTTCTCGGATATGCTCCGGAAAGCCGGGTGGAGATCCGACGAGGTTTCGGATGCTCTTGGATTCGATTTCCGATTGGAGGAAAGGAATCCATCGAAGAAATTGTCACCGGAATTGCTCGAGAGACTCGGAAAACTGACAAAGTCGTTCGCTCAGCCGTATTAATCATCCTTAAACTCCATATTCTTCGCACTCTTGTCTTTTCAAAAGCCTCCGATTTGCTCTCTGCCTCTGCGAAACTGAGATAAATCACTCAGGCTGAAAAAAAAAAAAAAAAAGAAGAAAAAAAATAATAAAAGGGATAAATTGTTATCAATTGTTCTACACTTCTACTTGGAAATATGATTTTGTACATATAGATTGTCTCCACCTCCTTTGCGAACCTGAGATAAATCACTCAGGCTGAAAAAAAAAAAAAAAGGAATAAATTGTTATCAATTATTCTACACTTCTACTTGGAAATATGATTTTGTACATATAGATTGACAGATGAATACATGATATCCATTTGTCCGATTTAAATTTCTGAAATTCAATTTATCTATACAAAAATTCTGTACATATAAAAGAATTCAATTGTTATTATAACGTTAGTTCAGTCGACTACTACAAGTCAAATGTAGTACTGCAATATATATCGAGGAGGTCGGACGGTATGGAAGGATTATCTTACACATTGTGAAATCAAATGGAAAAGGTATTAGTTTAAAATTGAATGATATACAACAAATAATTTGTAATTTGTTACAAGTAATTGTTGTATTATAATGGAATTGTCTGTGCTCGTTTTCATGTTGTAATCTTGAACTAGTTGGACATGTAATGTACAAATGTTAGATAAGATTGATCAATATAATAAATAAAATTTTGATTTCTTACTTTTTTGGTACAGCATTATTTAATATCTGTTTCTAAATGTTAGTAGATGAATGGTGGGGGTGAGGCCAAGTGAGAGAAATTGCTATTGCTTTCGAGCTACGGCGTCGTTTTCATGTGTAGAATGTAGGGTGGAAAATTGCAACTGTTGTTGCTTTTGACTGACGTCGTCTTCATTTGTAGAATGATTAATACTATATGTCGTGGGTTTTGCCCGTTTCCATTAAGTCATGTTACCTGTACAATTATTTTTTACAATAATGGTTGGCAATTATTTTTGTCAATATCATATTCATCAATTTCAAAAACTGTTTCTAAAATTAATGAACCAAATTTTGACAACATCAATGTTGTCTTTCATTATTGTCTATTGTCAATAACAATTGCACAATTAGATTAATTCATTTCACTTATCCAGTTTGACAGAGGTTTTTTAAGATCATAAATTGATGAAATTACATTTTTAATAAAATTTCATTGGATTTATCAGTTCATAATCTCAAAAAGTTTTGTCAAATATAGGCATATTCAAGTCCGAAATTTGCGTAGGATGACAAAAAGTCTTTTAGAATAATTTCAACGATTAGGTTAAAAACGGGGCAAAGAGTATATATTTATCTCATATAACAAATCTTCGCAGATAAGTGATTAGTTACATATTTTTGAGTAATCAATTTGTAGTAGATATGCTGTTAAGTAATATCGCAATCAACCTAAATCTTGTCTATATATTTTTAATATTAGTGTGATCCTTGCCTTGTTACCATTCGTAATCAATTTTTTACCTAATACAAGAAATTAGAAATTTCTCAAGTAAAATAAGATTAATTATAAAATAATTTGAAGTTGATACAAAAGATGGTGTCTTTTCTTATTCAAAAATGATTGTTAGCATCTACTTTGTCTTATATTTTGACTTATGTCTTTTATTTTTTGTTGAAAAGGATACATATGTGTCTGTTCTTGGAATTTGAGAAGGGAAAAGACAAGTTTATCAGTTTTGAGAGAAGGCGGGTGGGCAGAATCTGACATCTCTGAGATCGCGCACGTTCCAGCATCTGGATTCTTTGATGGAGAGATGGTGATGCTGGACAATCAAGCAGTTCTTGATGCTTTGTTATTGAAGACAGATCGGTTCTCGGATATGCTCCGGAAAGCCGGGTGGAGATCCGACGAGGTTTCGGATGCTCTTGGATTCGATTTCCGATTGGAGGAAAGGAATCCATCGAAGAAATTGTCACCGGAATTGCTCGAGAGACTCGGAAAACTGACAAAGTCGTTCGCTCAGCCGTATTAATCATCCTTAAACTCCATATTCTTCGCACTCTTGTCTTTTCAAAAGCCTCCGATTTGCTCTCTGCCTCTGCGAAACTGAGATAAATCACTCAGGCTGAAAAAAAAAAAAAAAAAGAAGAAAAATAATAATAAAAGGGATAAATTGTTATCAATTGTTCTACACTTCTACTTGGAAATATGATTTTGTACAGGTTTACAGATGAATACGTATTATCTATTTGTCCGATTTAAATTTCTGAAATTCAATCTATCTGTACGAAAATTCTGTACATATAAAAGAATTCAATTGTTATTATAACGTTAGTTCAGTCGACTACTACAAGTCAAATGTAGTACTACAATATATATCGAGGAGGTCGGACGGTATGGAAGGATTATCTTACACATTGTGAAATCAAATGGAAAAGGTATTAGTTTAGAATTGAATGATATACAACAAATAATTTGTAATTTGTTACAAGTAATTGTTGTATTATAATGGAATTGTCTGTGCTCGTTTTCATGTTGCAATCTTGAACTAGTTGGACATGTGATGTACAAATGTTAGATAAGATTGATCAATATAATAAATAAAATTTTGGTTTCTTACTTTTTCTGGTACAGCATTATTTAATATCTGTGTCTAAATGTTAGTAGATGAATGGTGGGGTGAGGCCAAGTGAGAGAAATTGCTATTGCTTTCGAGCTACGGCGTCGTTTTCATGTGTAGAATGTAGGGTGGAAAATTGCAACCGTTGTTGCTTTGGACTGACGTCGTCTTCATTTGTAGAGTGATTTTTCTTTTTTTTTTTTTTGTTAACGAGGTGTCCCGGCTTGCGCCAGACTATATTCTCGTCCCTGAACCTTCGGCCCCTCAGCAACTCAGGGAGGTAAATCGCGGGATGTGCCATTGTTGGTTCTCAAGTTCCCACACGGCTTTTATTCTTTCCCCAAAGGGAGCCTCTTCACTGCCTTACAGCAACTTGCCTTCCAAGATAAATCTTGCATTCCAAGTTGTGCCTTCCAGGAATCGAACTCCCCACGCTTGGTTCCAGAGCCCCCCAATGTGATTGTTCCGCCAACTTGGATGTGCCCGGAGGGGCATTTGTAGAGTGATTAATACTATATGCCGTGGGTTTTGCCCGTTTTCGTTAAGTCATGTTACTTGTACAATTATTTTTTTACAATAATGGTTGGCAATTATTTTTCTCAATATCATATTCATCAATTTCAAAAA